GAAGGGAAAATGTGGAATTTTCCCTTCCTTTCTTGAGCAAGCACTGTAGAGATCCAGGAGAGCTGACTCTGGTAGGAATTCTTACCCTTTGCTAGCTTCTGCCAGGGTTCCCAGGACCCCATCTGAGGCTCCCAAGTGAGTGAGGTTCAAAGTAGAGAATGTAGCCCTGGTATCTACTAGAATTTGGCAAGGTTTTCCACTCATTTTAATTTTATTTTCCCCTTGGCAGTTTAAAAGAATGACTGGTAGCGGCTTACAGCAAATCCCTTGGAGTCTCATCAACCTTCAAAGGTGCCCATGTCGGGGCCCTCCTTCAAGGGTAGATAGAAGTGTATTTGAGTTGGTGCGGAAGGCTTTGACTTTTGTTGTGGTCTTGTACTCTTTTCAGAGTGGAAAGGCAGTTCAGAAACGGGATTAGTAGACTGAGTACTTATGTAAAGGAGGATAGAGGGGAATAGCAGGAGTGATCTTAGTCCTACAATCTTTTGTTTTAGGTACCTCTTGCATCTCTAATTTTCATTAGTCTTTTGCAATGAATCTTTCAATGAAGTTATTTTGAAATCTTGGCACCTTTTGGAGGCTTCTGTATGCCAATTAAAAACTGTATCCCATTCTGTTTGTTGACTTTGGAACCCTTCCTTTCAAGTGCACTTCTTAAATGCATGATTTTGTCTAATTGGAACATTCCCCATAATGGCCATTGTAATTCTAGGTTGTCTTAGTAAGATTTCACCATTTTGGAGATGTCTACAGCTTCCTAGACTACAGTTCTTAGGCATAAAATAAGCAGGTATGCCAGGAGGTGGCATGCTCAATACTTTGAAACTTTTTTTGTGAGTGAGGAATATTGGCCCTGAGCTAGTATTTGTTGCCAATCTTCCTCTCCTTTTTTCTTTTTTTTTTTCCTCCCCAAAGCCTCAGTACATAGTTGTATATCCTAGTTGTAGGTCATTCTAGTTCTTCTATGTGGGATGCCACCAAAACATGGCTTAATGAAAGGTGTGTAGGTCCATGCCCAAGATCCGGACCTGGGAACACCAGGCCACCGAAGCAGAGCACACAAATGTAACCACTCAGCCATGGGGCCGGCACCCTGTGGTGTTTTACAGTATACCTCACTGCACAGAAATTTTCTAGAGTCTGGCAGGTAACCTAGTGTCAAGCTAACCCGTTCCATGACCAACTTATCCCAGCACGGAAGTCTTAGACCTAAGTGATGACTGCTTTAACAGCTTTCAAGTACTCAACCCATGGCCACCAATTTTTCAGCTTTGAGGTAAGAGATCTCATGAGCAATAGATTATTCCTTTCACCGGAAGATTTATTCATAGTGACAGACACCCTGGTGGCTTTTAAAAGTCTGCTTCCTTAGATTTTGATTTTGACAGTCAAAACAGCCCAAATTTCTTGCCTTAATTTACTTTGCCAAGTCCCCCAGCATTTTAAGCTGTGAACTTATCTCAAGGCTTTGTGAGTGCCCTAACGGCTGCCGCCTGTTGCAGACTCCCAATATAACTATCCCAACACACCTTTCCAGAACCCCACAACATTTATGGAAATTTTGACAAACCCTAGAACATTTCCAGGATCCCAGAACCCTTCTGAGAACAATATATATATGTGCATATTTTTTTAATTAAGTTTGTTTGGATTGGAGAGCTGCACACAAAGGAACAGAGCTCAAATCCGAGAGTCACTTACCTACAGCCCTCAATAACAATGAGAGGAAGAATAAACTCAGACGGTTCAGTGGACACCTGTCCTGTGTGTCTCTTCATCCCGTAGGCCTTTAGCAGTCAGCTTCAGATCCCATTCCTCTTCACCAAAAACTGTTAAAAATTGATTAAGGAAACAATTTAGGTGATATAAACAAACTTTATTTAACACTTCATGAAATGGACAGCTTCCTTTCAGAGAACTGTAAAACAGAGGAGAAAGCAAGAAGCTTTTATAGGATAAAGAATAAAGAAAAAGGAAGATAAAAATAGAAAACGTCTAATTGGCTGGGGCCACATGGTGGTGAGAAGGAACAAGGAAGTAAGTATATAAATCCCAGAGTGGCTTGGCATTTGGGTATTGGCAGACTGGATATACTGCATTACAGGAGCCTAAGTTTCAGTTTGCTAATGTGGCACTCTGCCAGGAGCGGATACATCTGGGGCTTCATAAGTTATTTCAACACAGGCAAATTCCACTAATATACAACAACTATGTAAGATAATAAAAGAATAACAGTCTAGACAGATGACAATTTTAGCGGGAGCAATACCATCCACTGGATGCATTCTTTCCATGCCAAAGTAATTCAATTCAGTAGATGTTTATTGAGTCTACATTGTGTGCAAGAAACACACTCCAGTGAAAGAATTCATTTTGAATCACAATATTTAAGATGAGATGTCATCTAATCTGACTCTTCTTTTACAGATAAGGAAATAGAAACAAGTGAGTTTAGTGATGTTTTGCATGAGGTCAGCCCAATTTGCTAAAATTTGGTGGCAACACCAAAAAGCGAACTGGACCAAGGGTTCTCACCATGGTGTATGCCACTGATATTTTCCATCCTTTCTGGGAAAACTTCCCTGACTGTTCAAGGAAATCTGATCATTTATCCTTTATGCCACAATTGGGCGAAGTACATAGATCTATCATTGGAATTAATCACAGTATTACAATTATTTACATCCATCTCCATTTATCTGGTGTGGAGATTAAGAGTATGGCATTGGAGCTCCAATCCCAATCACTGACAAGCTGCATATTACCTGGGGAAAGTTTCTTTACCTCTCCACGCTTCAATTTCCTTATCTGTAATGGGAAGATAATGTTGCTACCCAACTCGGAAAGCTATTAATGAGATTTAAATGAAAAAATCCATATAAAGTGCCTGCACAGTGCCTCTCACATACTAAGTCCTAAAAAAAAATTAGCTGTTGTTATTTTTATTGCTATTATTATTTTTAAAAGTATTTATTGTGTGTCAATAATATTTCTCGCACCAGAGATACCTTGGTTGTTCAATCAAAAAATTTAATGAGTACCTGATATATGCCAAGTGCTATTGCCAAGCACTGGACTTTCAAAAATTAGCAAAACACAGTTGTCAGTGTGGTAATAACTATAATCGAAATGGGTTGAAGTCATAATGTGGTAAACACAAGTGAAAGAGTGGTTAATGCAGCTAGCGACATAGTGAAGACAAGCTTCACAGGGAAGGAGAAACTCTCCCTGTAATACCTCCCTCTGTCTTCTTTATTTCTTCTTATTGTGTCAGGAAAAATCAAAATTTTCCCTGTACCTCTTTGAAAGCTGGAGAAAAATTGAGGCAAAGAAAAACTATCTGGGCATAGTAGCATGTGTTTTCAGGGAACGTGTATGAGTTTGGAAACGTAACACTGAGAAGAAGGTGCAAATCCACTATTAACATAAGGTCAGAAATATTGTTTCACAAGAAAAAGGGTCTAGGTCAGGTAATCAGAAGAACATAAATTATCACAAAGATGAAAGAGAATGGTGATTCATGGGAAAAAAAAGAATCTCCCCACTAGTCATTTGCGTCCTATTTCAGGAGGAAACTAAACAAAACTGACTGTGGAGGCTCACCATTTCCCTTCCCTCCGCACACACCTATTTCTGTCTACAGATCAGAGACCTCCCTTCTCTTGTGCCCCAGATACTCCATCTCCCAGAGCCATGAGACGGTGCTGCCATAAGTATATCTTCCTGCAACCACCTGGGTTACAACACTATCAAAACATGACTTCTATGATTTACTAAAATTTGGTTAGATTTGTATTCTCTTACATGTCCAAAGTAGAATTATGGCACAAAGAACTGTAGTAGAAGCTATTCCAAATAACTGCTTGCCAATACAAACATCACACTATCCATCAGTGATCACATCCAAACATAAGTCACACAGAATTTTTAAGCAAGATACTTGAACTTTGAACACTGGAAAAAATACAGTGGTGGATTTTATATGTGTATCTGCTCAGTTGAAGGTGAGAAAATGCAATTAGCTCCTTTTTATAGGCCAGTGTATTATTCCCATGATCATTACTTAGCTAAGCTACTTAAGGATAACTGTCCTTTAGAGAAAGGACTTTGAGTCTCATTAACTAGATTTCTGACCCATAGAGGTGTTTTAGCATTTATTTTCAGGTGCTTTAATTTTTTTTTTTCAATTAAGCACTGCATCAAAATTTCAAGTAGAAGTGTGATTTAATATTGCTTTGTCAAAGGTCCTTATTTAATAAATCTAATCAGACAATTGGCTTAAGTCCAAAAAAAAAGGTCAAGCTTCTTGACATAACTGTTCTTGAAAAATTTATAGGTACAAAGAATACAAGCTGAGACACTCACTAAAGTAGGTTTGCTTTGAGAAAAGGTTCACTTCGAAATTTAGAAAACCAAAATAACCAATCATCATCCTAGTCTCTGAGAGATAAGCAAAAAAAAGAAATCAGTTGAGGTCATATATGCATGTCACAGAGATGGCTAATAATCCAATGTGAAGGATAACTTTGATAGAATACACGTCAATTACCTTAGATAATGGAGCCAAGGGTACTATATTTGAGATAATCAAAGAGTGGGTTAATAAGGGACCACTGGCATTTACATAGTCTGCTCCTTCTCAAAGAATGTAGTGGTTGCAATTTTGCCAAAACCCTTAATAGTGTGGCTTTAGAATCCTTTCAAATATTTTCAAAATAAAAAGAACAGATTTGAAGCCTGTCTCATATTTTTCCTATAAATTAAAAGAATGTGATAAACTAAAATTCTGTACTTTTGTAGCTTTTCCAAATTTACTTTAAAATTTATCACCAGTTGTAAACTTCAAATGTTATTACTGCAGGTGATTGGAACCCCACACCCACACCAAAAGGGAAAGAGGATATGGTGGGGAAAGCATGAGGAGGAAATGGTCTCTCATGTTCACTCTTTAGAAATGAGAATGCTATGACTGAGTTATTGCGTTTTGCCTTTTTCCCCAGGTTTCCAGGTCTTAAGTAAGGAAATCACTACCAAGTCCCTTTCAAGGTAGGAAGACAAAGATGATAGGAGGGGCATTTACAAAGACCCAGAGGTGAGAGGCACAGCGTAGCCATGTTCATGGACTGCCACACCTTTCAGAATGCAGGAGATTGGGGGAGGGGGGAGGGCAAAAGGGGTGATTAGGGTCACATGTGAGGGGATGCACTATAATTAGTGTTCGGTTGGTGAACATGATGTAATGTATGCAGAATTCGAAATATGATGTACATCCGAAAAAGATAAAAATTAAAAAATAAATAAATAAATAAAAGAATGCAGGAGGTGTTTGTTGAAAAGAGGGCAGCACCAGGAGGTGAGACTGGGAAGCCACGTGCGTAAAGAGCATCCTATGCTGCCTCTGGAGCTTGGATTCCATACCAAAGCAACTGGGAGCCATTTAATAGTTTTCATTCGGGGAATAATACTATCAGCTCTTGTGCTCTAGAAAGATCCCTCAGGCTGCAGGGTAGACAACAAGGTAGAAGGGACAATACTGGAGAAAGGAAGACCAACTGGGAGACAACTGCAGTAATGGAGGGGAAGATGAAGTTGTTATGAGCAAAGTTCATGATGGCGAGGAGGGAAAGAAGCAGCTGGCTGTGAGAGATAGGGAGAGAGAAGCTGCCAGACTTGGTGATTGATTGGGAAACAATGAGGTTGAGGCACTAGAATGACATGGAAGTTTCTCCCTGGAGCAGCAAAATAAAAAATGATGCCTGAGTTTCCTTTGGAAAACCTCAGGGCAATATCCACTAAGCAGACTGAGATACAGGTCAAGAGCTCAGCAGAATGACCTGGGCTGCAGATAGAGACCCTGTAGAAGATGCATTTCTTCTGCACCTCTACAGCAAGCTCTATCTATTTCTATCATTGTATCAATCACATCATTGAAATTATGTATTAACTCTCTGTCTCCTCCACTAGGCTGTACATTCACTGAGAACAGTGATCATTTGTATTCATCTTTCTATCTCTAATGCTCAACAAGCAATTATAAGAATCTTTACCAGGCACTTCTCATGTGCATAAATTTATTTAATCCTCACAATAGCCCTATGAGGTAGCAGTAGTATTATCCCCATGTTACAGATGAGGAAGCAGAGGCTGAGACTCAGTAAATAAATTTACCAAAGTCCTGCTGCTAATAAAACAGACATTGAACAAAGATTGTTACCTTAGGCACATAGTAGGCTCTTGTTATCTGTTTACTTAAATAAATTGCTCTGAAGACCGTCTGGAAAATGTGCTACTTAAAGAAATGGAGGAAAGGGGATAGGGGAGCATTGTCAACGCAGGAAGCCCCTAATAGAGAAGAAAGGAGGTGATGGGGAAAGATGTTAGGTAAAAAGGACACCTCTACTGGTCTGTACTGTGACGTTGGCCAAGACAGAGCTAGGTTGCTTGGGGTGACCCTCTTGCCCCACGTGGCAAGATACTCCCTGCAGGTTGAAGGGAGCAAACACTAGTTAGAGCTCCTGCACTCACTCCTGTGGGTTAGAGGGGTTTTCTCACTTCTTTTACCTCCAGCATCCAGAGCCCTGCCCAGTGCCTGCCGTTGTTGGGAAGCCCTGACTCACTCGCCCACACGTGTCGGCCCCTTCCCCGGCTTCTAGTCTTCTTTCAGTCACTTCAAATGAATTCCCTCATTTGTAAATGGAACACCAGTGATCTGCACTACTAGCCATTCCTAAAGAAGACCAATCCTTCCTTTCCTGGTTATTTGTCCTCCCGCTACCCCAAATGTGTACCTACTGGGTAATCAAAGCCATCTTTCTAAAATACAAATCTAATCACATCATTCCTTTAAATCCTTCAACAGCTCATTATTACTCTTGGAACGAAGATGGAAATCCTCAAAAAGACCTATGAAACTCTGCATAATCTGGGCCCTGCCAGCCTCTTCCATCACACCAGAGCCATCCTGCCCTTGTTTTAGGTACTTTAGCAACACTAATTTGCCTCCATTTCCCCAAATGCACAGTGACCCCTCTGGTTACAGTGCCTTTGCATATGCTGTTCCCTCTACCTCCATGGATCCCCAACCCTTTCTTATCTGGTTAGCTGCAACTCATCTTTCAGGTACTAATTAAAATACTACTTATTATTAAAACCTTCTCTAGCCCACTTGACTAAGTCAAAGTTCTTTTATAAGTACGAAGATATTTTCCTTTATAGTGGTTTGTAATTTATGCTTATTTATAGGACTTTTATTTCTTTCTCTTTCTCCCGCTGTTTTCTCTATATGTTCCATGAATACAAGAACAGTAATTTTCTCATCTTTGCATCCCTAGTGCCTAGTAGAGGGTCTGGTGCATAGTAGGTCCCCCAAAACAAATTCTGTCTGACTGCTGCTCAGCCTTCTTTCTTGGTTATGCTTCTGGAATCTCACAGGGCCAGGCCACACCAGTTATATCTTAGGGCAAGATTTCTCAACCTTGGCATTATTGACATTTTGGACTGGATAATTCTTTCCTGTGGGGAGCTGTCGTTGTGCATTGTAGGATATTTGGCAGCATCATTGGCCTCTACCCACTATATCCCAGTAGCGCTAATCCACCATGTCATGACAATCAAAAATCTCTCCAGTTATTGCCAGCTGTCTCCTGGGGGCTGTTGGGGGGCCAAATTACCCCAGGAGAACAACTGTCTCAGGGGCTGAAGTGAGAGAGAGGGCAGAGAAAGGGAAGAAGATTCACCTTAGGAGGGATGGAATCCTCTTTCAGCAATTCTTGCTGTTTTTATGTCTGGGCCACTGACAAATCAGTGATTGCTTATTTTCCTTGACCTCAAATCCCGTGAATCTTTTTTTCTAGATGCATTCATGTTTCCATTCCTCATGTGCCAAGCGTTTGCCTTTCCTCAACGTTTTCACTTTAACCTCAGAAACAATTATGTTCTCTTGCACTGAATTATGTATTGATCCAATATCAACCTTTCTGTTTCCCTCTGTTTCTGTCTCTCTCTCTCTTTTTCTCTTTCTTTTTCCCCCCAGGTTACTGGTTCCTAATATTAGCTAGGGTCTTTTTGTTGAGTCTGCAATTGCCCGTATTATTTAGGTGATGTCGCATAGCTTCTGCATCACAAAAACTCAGTGGCTGAAAACAGCAAGTGTTTGTTCTCATGGATCTAAGGCCCAGCAGAGTGTTGGCTGCTCCAGGTTGGGCTTGTCAGGGCTCGTCTGGCTCTCATCCTCCCAGGACCACAGGACTAACAGAGACGTGTTCTTATGGCGAGGGCAGAATAGAGCAAACCCAATTGAGCAAACACTTTTCAAGTCTTTGGTTATGTCAGACCTGCTAACGTGCCACTGACTAAAGCAGATCATGTGGGCAAACTCGCCTAAGGGAGAGAAGAAACTGCAGAGTCACAAGGCAAAGTGTATGATTGCAAAGAGGGATGAGGAACTGGGGCCACTGTAATCTACCGCACGCCCCATTTGAATTGTCATTATTTCCAATCTTTCTATCAATCCCTTGGGTCTCATAGACGTACTTTGAAAAGTAGGCCTGCTTGTGCTAGCAAACGTGTAATAAAATAATGGCCCAGTGCTCAGACACTAAGGCTTACTTATTAATATTCAATGCAGGTGCTAAAGGCCTACCTATCAACTTTTAATTTATAAATAGGACAGATTTGTCCCCTGATACTGCTGTGTAATTTCACTCAGTTTTCAGAATAGATAGTGCTTTACTCCTACACAAAAGGAGTAATTATCACCATTTTTTTAAGCTTTGATTGCACATTTTGCCATCTCAAATTAGTCACTTCCTGCAAATGGGAAGATTAGGAATAGCCAGAATATATAATATTAATCAAACACATAAGGAGCAGAGTGTTTCATCTACAATGTTCTTTTATTAAATACAGGAGGTTTGCAATACATATGGCAATGAAAGGAGGCAGAAAATGACAAGAAATCCCTTTTGAAAGATCAATAAGACATAGCTATCTCATATAACCATCAGTGTGACACAGTGTGCCCAAATATTAATTATATTAAGACTATTAAGATGAAATGGTTTATTTCTTTCCATATTAGGCTCCATTGCTATTGTGATTCTGGATTATCCAAGTTAAAATTCTCAGCTGCCGTCCTGAATTTTGAAGTTGGGAAAAAACCAGCTGGTTAGGCCCATTCCCAGTCTAGGGGTCCCTGTGAGCAATCAGGCATGTACCTGGTAACACAGCCACCCGTCTGCCCAAGCAAGAGCAGTGGAAGGATGGAAATGGACAGCTTTGGGGCTCCAGCCCTCCTCATGGATGCCTGGTTTTTCTTAGGCTTTATCAAATTCATCAAGCTGCCCAAGCAATAGTCCTGGCTCTGTGGGAACCTGGAACATTATAGAGTTAATCCAGACCCTTAAATCATGCTTCCTTAACATTTCCACTTCCATGTATCCCAGGCACGTAAAATTGATCCTGTTCAAATGAAGCTCATGGTCTTTGCAGTAAACACGTTCTCCTTTCTGATGTTGTCTCTTTCAACAAATAGGTCTACCTATTATTACCCAGTTGCTCAAGAGTAGCATTTTTGAATGACTCCTTTCCCCTTAACCCTCACTTATATCCAAGCTATTCCCAAATACATTTGATTACATTTTCTAAATATTTCTGGATCACTATTTTTCCTCCATCGCACTACCATCTCCTTAGTGCAAATCACTGTAAGCTTTCACTGGGGTAGTTCAGTACAGGGTCTGTCTCCTTGTACTAAATCTTGTCCACTTTCCATTCTGCAGGCTGAGGGGTCTTGTTCAAAGGTAAATGTGGGCATTTTTCTCCCTGGCTTAAAGCCTTTCCATTGCTCATAGGATACAGTTCAAAATCTTCCATCTAAACTCTTGGTTTATTTCACAATGTAACTGTGGTGATAGTGAAACAAAGCAGTTTCTTAAAGAAACTTATGATGGCATAAATGACTTCGTTGGTCCCCGTATCAATCAAGAGCTCACTATACCAAGTTGCCCACCTCTCCTCAGAGGAAGGGGCTACTTTTGGGGCTACCTTCCCAAAAGGTGCTGATTGGCAGAAGAGGCATTTGGAGTTCCCCCAGGAGACTGTAAGAAGCAGACACCCAAATCCATCTCCCTTTACAATGCCTGATACATAATCAGTACCCAATAAATATTTGTTTAATTAATTAAAAGTACTGTAACAAAGATATTATTACCCTTAAATTATGGAAAAGGAAATTAAGGTCAGTTAGGAGACTTGCCAAAGACTAGAGAGCTTGCAATTGGCTGAGCCAGGTTGTACCCTGCTCTGTCTGTAGGTCGCAGAGGCAGCATCTGCAAGGTGCAGCAAGTCTATACAAATATGCCTCCTGCAGCTCTCTTCTCCTTTACACTGCTCCAAAGAAAGTTAGACGGTAGAGTCAGCCAGAGGGTTGTATCCAGACATCACGGAGCTAAAAGTATTTGAAGTTAGGGAATATTGGGTGATTTAAAAAGTAATTTCAAAGAAACAAATCTGAAGATATTCCAATTCAATTCAACAAACATCTTCTAGAAGCGGGGAATACCAAATTGAGGAAGGCAATGGTCTGGCCCCTCAAGAGTTCACACTCTAGTAGAGAAGACAAGCATATAAACAAAGTACAATTGTAACATACCATGAGGCAGTAAGTAATACAATGAACAAACAGACAACCCACTCCTCTAGCCTCTGGGGAACAGGGAAACTTTAAAAATCTGACCTGCAAATACCAGAAATCTTATTGCTCTCTTAGGTAATATACACTTTGCCCAAACCAGACCAATCTAGGATAAGTTGTGAGGTGTTGAAGAGCAGTGAATAATTAATTCACAATTCCCATTGCAACCTAGCAGATAACTCAGTAATTCCACACATGGACTCTGTTCCACCATTTACTAGGCACATTACTTTGAATCAGGGACATTCTAAGCCTCAGCTTTTTCATCTGTTAATAATGGGAAAAAATAATGATAAATAACTCATAGAATTTTTTCAAGAATTAAACTATAATAATAGTTAACTTTTATAGAGTTTTCACAGTGTGCCTGGCAGTTTTGGGTGCATTACTTGTATTACCTCATTTAATCCTTGCAAAATCCCTATGTGATAAATACTATTATTAGCCCCATTTTGCAGATGAGAAAACTGAGATCCAGCAAATTAGGTGATTTGACCAAAGTCACATGACTGGTAGGTGGCATGGCATAAGTAGTCTGGCTCCAAAGCCTGCACTCTTTGTTTTCCTCTCCATTTTTAATTTACCTCTCAAATTAGATGATTTCTCTAAAGCTTTCAGCATAGGGCTTGTTACATGAATTGAATCGACCTAGCTTTATAATAGAAATTATATTTAAAGTCCTTAGCCGCCGTATCCTTCACCCTCCTCCTGCAGCCATTGAGCCATCAGACAGCCGGGAAGTGGAGAGGGTGAAGAACATTCTGGAAGGAGAAGGTGAATTCTCTCCTTCTCCTTCCAGAGGGTGCAAGTGGAAGAGGAGAGACAAGGGTGGGAAGAGAAATCACTTACCCTTTCTAAGGTAAAACCCAAGTTGGGAGGGGCAAGAAGAGTGTTAGAGAGTTCAAGATGAAGGCTGAAAGCAAGGGCTCGCTCTGCTTCCTGTGTGAACCCCTGGAGTGAGGCTGCCCCTGGGCAGAACAGAAATGGCTAATAGTTCTGGTTAGGCTGAAGGAGGGCCCAAATTCATGAGCCTGCCTTGCCTTCCTTATAGTGTGGAAAGAATTCTAAGTTTGATATGTCCCATGGACAAGTGAAATTCCAACTAGGCCTCCTATACTTTATCTGGCAACTCTAGCCTCCATGTAAATTTTTGAGGGAAAGCCATTCCTTGTAGAAAGCAAGTTACACCTCTATAATGGAATCTTTTAAGCAAAAGTCATCCCCCATGAATTCTTCTGTTCCTTCACACGTGGAGATAAAATATAGGACACAGACAGTAAGTTCAGATTAGAGAGGGAAATGGTTACTATACTATTTCGAAACACTGCAAACAAGTATCATAAATATAGAACAAACTCTAAGAAACGTTTCAGATCAAAATCACAGCCTCCTTAGCAAAGTAAAAGATAAAAAGATAAAATTCAGCATCATATAAAAGACTACACAAACTTTTTAAGCAAAAACTCAAAAATCCTTAGATAAGTTACATGAGTGTTTCTTCTATTACTGCCATTTTCCATAAAAGTCAGCTATTCAGTAATAAAGTTTCCTTGAATTTATTATCCTAAAGTACAAGTAAGTTAGTATTAATACAAACAATATAAAAGGCAATATAGTAATATAATGGTTAAAAGCACAGATTTTGTCACCAAATTTGATTTTGATCTTGGTTCTTCCATGTTGCCACGTGCTTTTGGAAAGCTACTGAGCTTTTTTCAAGCTTGGTTTTAAACTTGAGTTAAATAATTCCTAATTCTCGTGGATATTTTGAGGAACAGGTGAGCTACTGTAGGTAGTGCTGGCATATAGAGTGGGTGCTCAATAAGTGATGGCTCTTTCTCTATCTGGACAAAGAGCTAGACATAAAAGCAGGTGCAGATGTAGATGCTGATATATAGTTATGGATGTATATGTGTGTATAACATTTACATATACTTGATCATTTCATAAAGGTCAATTGTCGGTTGTTTGGCTTCTTCACTGACCAACTGAAGAAGAGGATCAGTCCAGGAAGGAGTGTAAAATGAGATGAAGGGCGAAGGTAATAAGCAGCTCTCAAACATATTATCCTTAGAAAATGCCTGAATCTCTGGGTTATGGCGAGTAAATGGGTCCTTATGTGCCTTCCCCATCCAGAGAACAGTGTTCTGATCTAAATGCGGAGGGTTCACTGTGCTCATCTCTATTTCAGTCTTCAACTTTCGTCTTAATGCTTCCGCCATTGGGACTCTGTCATACAGAACAGTAGAGGTGGGAAGGTTTAGAGACAAAGCTGCTATAGCCCCTCGCATTCAGAGATAGAACAACTGAGACTCAGAATGAAATGGGGTCCCCTCCTCTAGGTCAGAACAAGATCTCAATGTTTTGAAGCCAATTCAGAGCCTTTTCCACCTTATCCTGCTACTTCCCCCAGGTACAGGATCAGTGTGTGGAGGGGTGACCAGCATGACATGTCTCCTCTCAAGGGATCAAGGCCATCCACTGTTGTAATTTCCGGTGCTTGATCCTCGCTTTAGCCCTCTTTGCTTCCCACTCCACATGTTCTCCATGAAACAGCTCATTAACCCTCCTCTCTACAGTGATAGCTCCCGAAACAGTGTCTCCAGCTCACATTTTCCTACTGAGCTACCTACCAATATATCCACCTGCATGTCCCATGGGTAAGAAAACTACGTTGAAAGGGAAAATTCTAATCTTCCCTCCCACTCCTGCTTCTCTTCTTGTGTTTACTGCCGTGGAATAAGGCAGCAGCATATCCTCTGTGAGGCATTCTTGACACGACTCACATTAAAACCAGATTGATTCCTTCTAAAATTCAAATCGATTACATTACTCATGAGAAAGAAAATCCTTCAGTGATTCCCTTTTGCTTCTATATATTCCAGACTCCTTAGAATCCTCTGGCTCTCCATCCACCACCACGTGTCATGTTACTTCCCTCCAATCACTCCATTGTCTCTTTGCGTAGCTCTATCCAGGCAGTACCACATGGTTCTGTGGCCATCTACTTGTTTGGCAACTTTTCAGTGCCAGGAAGAATGCTTGGCACATGTTTGGTGACGATAATTATTTATTAGTGGAATGAACAAATGAATGAAAGAAAGTCAAAATTTTACGATCACCATTTACTGGCTCTACCATGTTGGACAAAGCAATCACTTCAACACTCTTCATCTTAAGTCTTTCGTCTCTTAAACTACAATTATACCCATCCCATCAAGCCACTGTGAGGATTAAAGGAGGTCATATATGTGAAGGGAATTTGTAACAAATAAAGTACAGTATAGTGTCAGTTACTCTAATTTTGGTCCTTTATAAGTGTATCATTTAAGACTGGTAAAAAGAAATTTTTCCAGAATCTATTTAACTTCAAGAATAAGCCCTTGAAAATATCGTATTGAACACAATTTCAAGGCAAAGTTGTAAGCACCAGTGTCGTCAGTATCCTTAATTACAGAGGTGTAAAAAGTGGATGAACTGTCAAGGTTATAAGAACCAATTTCTCCCCACTCCACCTATTTACATAGCAGAGCTCTCACGTACTTGCAGTTTGGTAGGGTGAGAGAAGTGGAAAATGATGCAAGGTATTATAACAAAGTCCACTTTTAAATCATTATAACTTAAGTTAATTACATTGACATTTCGCAGCAAGGATTAAGTCAGAAGGGAAAAAAAGGCGTATAAGAAAATAAAAAGCAAGGGTTGGACTACAAGAGCATCTCTTTTGTCTTTCATTCAGGTGTGTAATTAAATTAAGTAGGATTGATTGAGTGTCAAACATCTGTGGGAGTCATTTCCTAACTTCATTAATGCTATTGTGCCTGAAGAAGCCTCAGTGGTAATTTCTCTCACAAGCATCTAATGAGAGTCTAGTGAGGTGATATGAAAACATTACACGGAGCTGCTGTGCCCTCCGCCGCCGCTGCCGCTGCCTGTCTGTATGTGAGGAATTTATTAGAAATGCTGGCCTGGCAACAACAAAGCTACGTTATCCACCTCAGCAGTGGGAGTGGGACAGCAGGCAGCAACGAGCTGGGGTAATGGAGTCATAAAGCTGAGAGTTTAGACAGCAAGCATAACAGAATAAAAACAGGACTGCTAAGGAGAACTAAATGGTCATAAAATAGATCATATATAATGAGGTACAGGAGATAATGAGGTGCATTTATACAGAAAACGCTAAATAAAAATTACGACCATTTCCTCTTTAACCCCATAACAATCAGAGCTTCTCCCAGCAGCTGGATTTGCAAGGTAAACCAGGGAGAGTGAATTAATTGGAAGGAACAGATATATATGTTGGCCAGCTTAGTTCATTATTATAGGTATCACTGACTGAACAGAGGGCCCCAGTAGAATACTTGGCACTGGGTAAAACATTATGAAAGATCCATAATTCCTATCCTTTTTGTAGAATTATTGTTTTAAAAGTTATAATACTGTTATAGTTGTAAAGTAATTAAATGGGGATAAGCGTAAGTTTAGTTCTGTTTTATTCATTTTATCATTGTGATTAGAGGTTGCCTGCTCCCAAGCTTTGTTTCTTCATTCATTTATCAGTTAATGAGCATTTACAATGCATTGGGAGTTCTGGCCAGCTCGAAGGATGCCAAGTTGCACAAGAAAAGTATCTGTCTTTGAGAAGATTTAGTCTGGCACAGAAAACTTACAAGGAATCAAATCATCAAAATAAAAATTAAAGTGGAAAAACAGAGATAAGCACTGGGTCCCCTGGGAACACAGAGGACACACCACTTGGCAGGGCTCAGAGTACTAAAACAATGAATAGATATCAGGTCATTTGGGGTGCCAAGGCAGACGGGGGGCGGGGCAGATGATAGAGTGTCAATTTGAGCAAACTGCATTTACAAAGACACCTGAGTGTGAGATGAAAAGACAAATTTAAGGAAGGGCTAGGAAAAGAAGGCGGATGTGAAGAAGCCCGGAGTTCTGAGGTTGGGTGCTGGGCTTCGGGCCATGATGTGGGGCTAAGATTTTATCCTGCATGTGGGCAATGGGAGCCACTGAGGGTGGTTGTGTAGAGGTGTGCTCATTCATTACTGCCACAGCACATTTCCACTACTGACTTCTCTCTCCCTTATGATCCAGTGGGGTCTTGTGGAGAAACCTAAGTCTGGAAGAGACAATATATAATTTTATGAAATGACTAACAAATTTATACACCTAATTTCTCATTGCACATGATGCCCGTCTCTCAAAATATCACATGCCCCTATGGCAAGGTAGTCCATATTTGACCGGATGAAGACTGGAAACTTATCAAGTTCACTGAATTCTCAGTAATCTCTAGGCACTAAACCCCATTTGAAAGCTTTTCTGTAAGGTCATGATATATATGGAGCTAAAATCAACAAAGCTGTCCTGAAGTTTCCTGAAGTTGTACTCATTCGACATTTCACCCTACTTTTAAATGGGAGGTTTTACCAATCAGAGGGGATATTGTCATCCGAAATTAATTTATCCTTGAATAATTATCTGAAAAGCATTTAATAATCATGTTCATATTTTTAAAAGGAAATCTCCTTGCATCACGACTTACGTTGGGGAACAGTGTTTATATCTCTAGTAATTGCTATAAATAAGCTTTCACTGTAAGTTGCTGTTAGCCTCTGGGTACTTGTATGAACTATGATATAACCAACTCTGTTGATTAATAATACGTTTTGTAACAGGTCTCTACTAGGAAGATTTGTCCTGGCATAGTCACTCAGCAAAATTTACCACCTTAGAAAGCTAACATATGGTCAATTTAACCAGACTGGGAGCATATTGAGGATAGACATCACCACATTCATCTTTGTCTAGCTTGATAGAGGCTCAGCAAACTTGTCAGAGGGTTGACAACTTGATGTCATTGTCATCTCTATTTATATTATCTTCACCATTGCAGGGGTGGAGGGGGCTGAAACTACATTTCCTAGAATTCCTTTCCCATATTGTTCTAGGCTAGAAGCCCCCATTGAGAGGAATTTGCATATATCTTGACAAATCAAGGAGAAGCCATTATTCTGGCAGCTGCGAAAGAATCTGCTTGAAAATCTTCCACCTTGATGCAGACACCAGGAGCAGTGGCTTCCCTGATTTTTGTGCCCCCAACCCATCCACCAATTGTAAAAGCCTCTATTTTCCTGCATAAAAACCCTTTCTACTTGGAACATTTAACGCAGTTTCTGTTTTCCTCATCTCAGCTGGACTGGAATGAACACTTTAGTGAAAAGAAGAAAGGAAGTCAGAAAATAGGGAAGGAGAAAGGGAGGAAAAGAAGGAGAAAGGAAGAGAGGGACGAGATCACCTCCTTGGTTTTACACAGCTACATAGAGCCAGGGTAAGCCTCATTCTTAATTCTTTACTTCTCTGTGCACACTACCTCCTCAGGAGAGGAGTGTGGGTTCTTCTGTACTGTGGAAATATTAAAATGTCAGGAACTGTGACTCAAAGCCAGTATTGCTCACCATCCATGGATGTCAATAACGCAAATCACTGAAGACGGGCATCACAAGAAATTGTTACTAATTCTCTAAATTAGAAAATGGGACCGTGTTGACAGATTTATAATCAGAGCTGACAGAATAATTGAGCCACTCAGAGGAAAGACTGGTAGAGCAGTGAGAACATCTACGCAATCACACAAGGAACTTACGGGAAATGGCAAGGATCAGTCAAAAACAAAAAGAAGCTGTGCCTGGAAGATTTTCTATTCTGAAAAAGAAGAATAGGTGCCACAAGTCAGCAGATTAAATGAGGCCTCTGTGAATCAAATCCCTAACTTCTCTGTTTTACTATTCATAAACCAAATGTTAGGGAAATAAAAAGCAGACTACGTTTGAGGCATATGTTAAACACAGGTGTTAAACATACAGATTTTGACAGATTTTAATCTGAACTAAAACAATTACGCTCGTCATACATCCAATTTCTGGAACTACTAAATGCAGTATGACAATTTCTGTCTGTATGTGTGTGTATTTATTTCCCATCGCGTCTTAAAAAATTGTAGCTACTCAAACATTTTTACTGATCCACAAAATGTATCCAGTACATCCCATATCCTCTGTTGTGAATGAGGCGACACAACGCAATACAAGCAACTGTTAGTCATTTAAGCAGTACAGTGAGAGTTTTTAAAATCATATTTAGACAGTGTTTACTAAGACAGCAATGAATTTTCAGCTGAATCTCTTGGAACTCAACTCTGTTGCCCTGGGCTAATTTATTTGACTGTGTACATGTTTCTCCCCACAAATTTCCTTCCAAAGACCAAGTCTCCTTGACTGCCTATAGCCATGCTTTCAGTTACCTGGGCCTGGAACCTTTGAGCTCTCTTTGATTCTTTCCTTTATTTTCCACATTCAATCTAAAGCATGAGTGTGGAACTTTTCTAGCACCTTTCCTTTCTCCTCTCATTCCTGCAATACTTTACAGATCGGCCTTCCACTTCATTCCACTACATGGAGAAATTATTTAACAAACCTCTAGAAAGTGTCTGACATGTTATGGAAGTTCAGTCATGTTACTCCCTTGTCCTTATTTCCTTCCACTTTTCTGGTCAAAATTCTAAACTCCTTAAAGCACAGTTCTGATCAGATTTTTCCACTCTCAACAAACCTCCAGCGCAACTCTTTCCTGAAGTATGGCCCACAGTCCAGCATACAAAATTCTTTGACTCCCCATCACCTTCCTAATTTTCTGTCACTGCCGTCTTACATACAACACTTAGGCTTAGCCAGAGTAAACCATCGCCCACTGGCATACACAAATACATCTGAACTCTAGCCCTACCCAGGCAAGTTTCCAGTGGAAATAATTAAATAATCAATTAGTTAATTGCAAAAAATTGGAGATCGAACCTAGTTATTTTTAAATCAAGTGTATAGCCTGGTATATTTGACTTACTTCTAAGAGGAAAACCAACAATGAATATGTTCCATACTCATACCCAATAAGCCAGAGCACTTATCATCTATACTATAGGTCAGGAAATTACAGCCCACAGACAAAATCTGGCCCATGCTGTTTTCGTATAGCCTGCAAGCTAAGAACGAGTTTTACGTTTTTAAATTGTTGAAAAAAATCAAACGAAGCATAATATGTTACAGCACATGAACATTACGTGAATTTCAAATTCCAACGTCCGTAAACAAAGTTTGAGTGGAACACAGTCACGCTCGTTCATTTACTTAGCTGCTTTTATGCTACAACAACAGAGTTGGAACAGAGATCGATCGTATAGTCCAGAAAACCTAAAATATTTACTATCTGGCTTTTTATAAAATCATTTGTTGAGGGGCCAGCCCTGTGGCCAAGGGGTGAAGTTCACATGCTCTGCTTCAGCAGCCCAGGGTTTGGCCGGTTCGGGTCCTGGGCATGGGCATGGACATGGCACCCCTTATCAGACCATGTTGAGGTGGCATCCCACATGCCATAACTAGAAGGACCCACAACTAAAAACAATATATACAACTATAGACTGGGGGATTTGGGGAGAAAAAGGAGAAAAAATAAAAATAAATAAAAATAAAAACATTTCTTGACCTTTGATCTATACCATGAATTAAGTACTTAACTCATTCTATTTAGTATTAATATTTATGCTTTATTCATATTTCCTGTTTCCCCACCTTCTTTTAAAGTCCCTCAAGAATAGAAATCTTTCTGCTACTTTCTAAGATTCTGGCCTACCATAGCTGCTTTTTTACATAGTTGATATTCAGTAGGTGCTTGTTAGTGATTCTGACGCTAGTTCTGCAAACAGGTATAGATGAGCCCGTGGATTCTCCTGGACCAACTGAGGAAACAAACAGCAAGGTATACGAACTCCAGTCTTAACAGTAGAAGATGTTTGTTCTCTCATTTTACAAAATGAATGGTCATACGCTATTACCTATTTGAGTATTTCCCGGAAGTACTTTCCCATCTCCCTTGTACTCTTGCACTTAGAGGTACCACAATGCCATTGTGACGTCTTGGTTTCTATTGCCATCACTTTTACTAAATTTCTATTTTGACCCAACTATTCTTAACAAAACTAAATCTGAGACATAGCTCTTTGAATAGTTAAATTATCAAATTCAAATTATTTTCTGGAAAAGTGTATGATGTCCCTAGATGACACGAAAATAACTGGCCAATTAGGTTGGCTCAGTTCAATAGCACAGGGATTCTATGGGATAAAAAATAAAACTGATAATTTGCCTGAATTAACTTAAATCTATCCAAATACTCTACCTGGCAGCACTGTGTAGAAAGTATATATCCTGATTATTCCAATGTTAATGCTTTTCCATTAAGTAGAATATATGTGTGCATAGGTGTACATGTGTATCCTACTTAAGATAAGCAAATAAAGAGCAACATTTAATCCAAAACATCACCATAAAATATATTGCACACTTTTGGGCCTATGTAGATTTTGCCAAAGTTTTTCTCTTCTTTCTTCCTTCTGAATCTCTAAGACCTGTCTGAGCTGTCAACAATGCTGTGCCAATTGTTTACAAAACAGATCTCATTCACAGGGGAGATAGAAGCCTGATCCAGTACTCAGAGAAGCTGAGGAAGAAAAACAAAAATGGATGAAACACTGACAGTTGCAGACTTTTATTTGAAGTTGTAAAATCTAACGAATAAATACGATGTCAGCAGAATCTATGATTTCTTTTTTTGGCATAGTCTTGTATTAAGAAATAATATGTCACAATGTTCTTTAGACATGAGAAACATTTTTAATAACAGGATTCTTGGGATAAGATAAAATTGATGCATAATGGATTGTTTAACTTTAGCTGCAATTTCCCTTTGTTTCTTTCACTGCATTCTCTTATCCTTTCTGCATTTCACGACATTTTGCTAGCAATTTTAATGTATTAAGACCATGTACAGTCACTCAAAGTATTTCAGAATTTTCAAGTGATCTCTGTTGGTCTTTTCATGTTAGTTTTAAAGAGAGTTATAAAGACCCATTTCCAACAGTCATTCTAAGTACGTCTCATGCATGATGTTTGATAATTGCATTGTCATCAGCAAATCTAATATAGAGTTGAGCTGTTCAGTGTAGTATATTAAAATTGAAAAGAAACAAAGTTTCCAAGAGAGGAGGAAGTTGGTAGAAGCTGTTCTTCATTACGTAGCTTCATTACTCAGGTATGTTGGTCTTGTGAAATATTAAGTCTCTCTCTAGACATTCTTTCAGGAGAAAGTACTGCAGTGGACAGTAGACCATAGACAGCCACTGTTTCTGAATCTCCAGAATCCGTTCGTTCACCTCTGCCAACAGCACTCCTATCTTCAAACAGGGACTTACCCTTCCTTCATCCATAGACCACGTGGTTGCTGTGCAGCTAAGTTCACTTCCAGTTTCTGGGGTGGTGTGATCCCAGCCTGGTCAATCAGAGCACCTTCTTCCACTGGTGACAGGGATTGGTTCAGTTTTGGGCAATGGTTCGAGTCTTGAACAGGACTACTCTCAGAACCTTAGCCTGAGTGACGGCATCCTTGAATTCAGACTTGAATCTGGTAAGGCGTGAGGCTAATGCTGCACCGTAAAGGCAGAGCCTACCAGGGAATGGAACCAATGCCAGAAATGTTATATGAAAAATGAAGAGAGAGAATCTTGTCCCAGTGAAAATTATTTGAGCCCTGTCTTGCCCAAAGCAACCTTATTCCCAGACTTTTCATTTTTATGAGCTAATAAATATTCTTTGTCAGTTTGAGTTGGGCATTCTGTCACTTGCTATCAAAAAAGTCCTCATAAGAGGCTGGCCCAGTGGCATAGTGGTTGAGTTCGTGTGCTGCACTTTGGCAGCCCAAGGTTCACAGGTTCAGATCACCGGTGTGGACTTACACACTGCTCATCAAACCATTCTGTGGTGGCATCCCACATACAAAGTAGAGGAAAACTGGCACAGATGATAGTTCAGTGACAATCTTTCTCAAGCAAAAAGAGGAAGACTGGCAACATATGTTAGCTCGGGGCCAATTTTCCTCACCAAAAAAAAAAGTCTTGATGAAAAATATTGGTACCTCTTGATTTCACCTGTGTCCCTAGTAGACACAGAAAGGATAAAAACTCTAGTGCTTTCTTACACCTCCATCCACGAATCTCAAGTCTCTGTTCCTATAGTGTAGGAAGCTTCCAAGAACACAGGTTAAAGCAGAGGTCTCCATTCCCAAAATATCTCTCACTAATTTCCTTCCACCACTTTCCCTTAGATTCGTCAACCTTCAGGAGGGTATTAGGAACGCTGCTGGTTCCCTCAAAAGATTTATATTCAAATTCTCCAATCAGCCATTGTGTGGTAGGAGAGGAAATTTGCAAGAGACACTAAAATGAAGGAGCATCCCCAGGCATGGTGGTGGGGAAATAATGCTCAGTCATTCATCACATGTGGATATTCAGCCTTGAGTGTCAGCCTGAGAGAAGGAACAGTTTTGGTGCTTGATTTTAAAGGAGATGGTGAATGGGAATTTTCATGTGTAAGGTGACCAGTAGTGGAATTGGTCCACTTACTCCCGTAAAAGGAACTATAACAAAGAAACACTGTGAACTGGTCTGGGCTTGGTGAGCAGACTTTGAAAATATTAAAAATGAAAGAAACTAGTCTTAAAAAAAATAACTTAGAAGTTGAATATCCTTTCGATGAACAAGTCTAAAATGTTTTCATTTCTGCTTTAAAATTAAAAAAAATCTAAGATCAGATTTGGAGATCATCATTCAGAAGGGAAGTCAATGGGTCAATAGCGCCAAATCCCAGCTCCACAGTTTTCCTAATAGTCTTATGTTTATTCCGTATTCAACTTCCCCACCAGCCACCTTTACCCTAATTTTGGAAAAACTCAACTCTACTAAAAGGTCATCTTCCTTCCTACACTTCTCTAACTCTAGCTCCTACTGAAATTATCAAACCCAGATTCTTAACTGTGTATATTCTCCAACATTTTAGGAAAGAAAAAACTCTTTTCTGAAAAGCTCACCAGCAAGGTTGTGGAGCTGGGGTTTGAGAATGTGGGCGCTGACGCAAACCTCCTGAGATGGGCAGTGAAGGGCTGGTGGCTGACCCCTCTCCATTCAGGGAGTCTCAGTGAAGCTTGCAGAGGAGAGCAGAGCAGCTCGTGCTGAGGAAGGGTTGCGACAACCAGCCAGAGAACGGAGGGACGGCAGGCTGCCACAGTACTTTGGAGGGGCTCCTCTGAAGCTATGAGACCACTTAAACGAGGAGCCGTCCTCACGCTCCTTTCGGCACAAACGTGAAAACCCTTACAAAGCGATTTGAAGAAGAGAAGTCTATTTCCAATTCATGCTTAAGAAGTTCTCACTCTGCTTTATAGAAGCCTGTCAAAATTACACAATTTCAAAGAGCTACTACATTCAAAGATGCTTCAGAAACTGTGGAATGCAATTTGAACAATAATCTCTGGCCCACGTAGCCACTGAATGAAGAGAGAATGTGGAACGTACTTCCTGGTGATTCAGTGTGGTCGAGGATGAAGACTTTTATTTTGCCCACTCATTGGCCGTGCACTCCACTCCCTGCCTAATCCGTAGACAGCTGGTCAAATATGTAAAACATATTTATTTATTTGCTTATTTACTTATTTATTTATATACGTATGTTTGTGTGTTTGAGAGAGAAGGATTGTCCCTGGGCTGACCTCTGTGCCAATCTTCCTCTATTTTATCTGGGACACTGCCACAGCATGGCTTGATAAGCAATGCTAGGTCCATGCCCAGGATCCGAACCTGCAAACCCCAGGCTGCCGAAGCAGAGCATGCAAACTTAACCACTATGCTACTGGGCTGGCCCCCAAAACATTTTATTTTTTAGAGTACTTTGACCTGTTCACTTTTAAACCGGTTTTTCCTCAGCTACATGTATTAATGTTTTTATGCTGTTGGGTTCATTTTTTTGAAGGAGCATTCTTTACAATCCAAGTTCCAAACAGATTAACTCCCTAGTCTCACACATTATGCCTAAATATATACTATTTTTATGAAGCTACAGATACAAAGTGTAAAGTTATTGCTAAAGAAAGTAAAATATTTTCACTAGTGATAGAAATCTCAAACGTGTAATTAAAGAGCAATATAACATGTGCATTTAATTTAAATCTTCAGGTCATCTGAAAGTAGTTTTAAAAATGGAGTGAAATAACCACAATTTACCGTACTTTGAGTAGAAATAAGTTAGCATATTAAAAGATGTTAAAGTCTACTAAATTGGGAGGTTAAACTTGGAAGAGATGCAGACATTATAGATACATATCTATCTCTACAATATGCAAAAGGTACATAAGATTCATAATATGTAATAAATTATATATAAAAACAGGATGTGTATATTCTATATGAAATCAATCAGGCAAGATTCTTTGACAGGGACTTGCATGTTACATTCTCTGTGTATTCCTCATTTTTTAAGGTTTGTCAGCACTATTAAAAACATAGAACACTTACAAGCCAAAAACAAAAACCAGCTGGATATCAACTGTTGAAACTTCCCCATCTTAGTCAAGAAATCAAACATGTTTTTCCTGCTAATTTACGCTTTATTTCACAGTTAAAGTTACCTTAAAAGTGTTGAAGATAACAGTAATTCTGTGATCGGATCAAACTTGAAAGGGCACTGTTTTTCCTCTCTTATGCACAGAGAAAGTTCAGAGAGGCATTTCCAGCTAAGATATTCACAGGAGCTTTTCATGAGAAAAAGATTTTGCTTCTAACAGTGACGGCACTATTTGCATAGATTGTAAAGAGAGCCATGTTTAAGTGATGACTATGAAATATGAAATATGTCTGCAAAGGACGAAGCACGGTGCCTGGCATTCTAATTCTCATCACATGTCAGTCATTAGAGACCTGTCCCATGGCACCTCATGATCCAGTGGCACCAAGACAACTCCTCAACAAATTCCACCTCTCAAAAATCTTGTACTCCCAAGCTGCAGAGAGGTTGTTAGGACCTCTGAGGTGTGTCACTGAGTACCAAGTCTCATGACAAACTCCCTTCTCTTCCCAGTCCTGAAGTGCCAGTGCTCAGGGTGGATGCTGCAGAGGGAACACGGGGAGTTGGAAACATGGACCCAGGGAATGCATCACTACTCACCATCTCTCTTTTGCACATTGTTTTATACCCAGAGGCAAAATCAAACAAAAACCTTACGTGGCCTGAGATTGCCCAAGATTACAATTTCTGGAGAGTGTTCCAGATATTCTTTCTCCTTATTATTTTTTCTTCTTTGAGGCAGTCTTTGTTCTTCATTATTGTAATTCAAATGTAAGTTTTACACAAATATACCTTGGCCTTCTTATCCTTCACGCTATTAAAGCATTCCCCTTTTCTTCTCCCATTGCCCCCATCTCACCTCCCCTCAGAATACTGTATCACTGTCATCTCCAAGTTCCCTCAAGACTCTAAGTTTTTAAGTTTTGAGTTATTTTCAATTATTCTCTGCTCTTCTTCACATAACCTCCTGAAAACAATGAAATGATATCATTTTTATTTATTTGTTTTCTTAACGAAGATTAGCCCTGAGCTAACATCTGCTGCCAATCCCCCTCTTTTTGCTGAAGAAGACTGGCCCTAAGCTAACATACATGCCATCTTCCTCCACTTTATATGTGAGACACCTGCCACAGCATGGCTTGC